ACGCCGTCGGAAGCCGTCTTGGCGGCCTCTCTTGGCCGACTTGGGGCCCTCTTGGAATGCTCTAGGGCCGTCTTGGAAACTGTCTTGGGCGTCTTGGAGGCCTCTTGGGCCGTCGTTGTGCCCTCTTGGGGCCGTTTTGGGGGCCTCTCGGGCGATCTTTGGGGGCTCTTGGGCCGTCTCGGGCCGTCGGAAGGCCGAAAAGAAGCAAATGCCAACATCCTTCAAACACCAGATGAAGATCGATGTTTTTGGGCTCTTCGGGCTTTCCTGGGGGCTCCCTTGGAGGTGTCTGAGGCCATGTTAGAGCCATCTTGGGCCGTCTTGGTGGGCTCCTGGCCCGTCTGACGCCGTCGGAAGCCGTCTTGGGGGCCTCTCTGGGCCGACTTAGGGCCTTCTTGGGTCCTCTTGGGCCGTCTTTGGGTCCTCTTGGGGCCGTCTTGGGGGCTTCTTGGGCAGTCCTGAGGCCATCTTGGAGGCCTCTTGGGCGCTCTGGGGGCGATCTTGGGGGCGTCTTGGGCCGTCTTGGGTCGTCGGAAGGCCGACAAAGAGCAAATACGATAGTTGCTCAAAAACCTACGTAAAATCAAGGATTTTAGCATCTTCGGGCCCTCCTGGGGGATCTCTCCGAGGCCTCTTGGGCCGTCTTGGAGGCCTCTTGGACACCTCTTGGGCAGTCTTGGGCCGTCTTGGAAGCTTCTTGGGCGTATCTGGAAGTATCTTGGACCCTCTCATGCCGTCTTGGAGGCCATCTTGGCCATCTGGGAGGCATCTTGGAGGCCATCTTGGGGCCGTCTGGAGCAGGAAAAACCTCGGCAACCGGCTCTGGGAGAGTTTCCAGACCTTCCGGGTCCCCGGCGGGACGGGTCGAAGCCCCAGGGAGAGTTCTAAATGGACCCAAAGCGAAAGGATTCAGCACGCCGGGCACCCCTGTGGCAAGCCCACGGGGCGGCGGATCGAAGACGCCTACGGCGACTCACCGCCGCCTCCTGCCTTTTTGGAAGCGCCTATGTGTCCGAACGTTGAGGCCAGACCTGCCAAGCTATCGGACCACGTGTTCCCCGAATCGGTTTGGAAAGCCTTCGGGGAACACGTGGGCATCTTGAAGGTCATCTTGGCCGTCTGGAGGCCATTCTGACTCTTTCGGGCCTTCTTGGAGGACGTCTTGGAGGGCTCTTGGGCCGTCTTGGAGGCCATCTTGAGCGTCTTGGAGACCTCTTGGGCCGTCTTGGGGGCCTCTTGGGGCCGTGTCTTGGGCCTCTTGGGCGATCTTTGTAGGCACTTGGGCCGTCTCGGGCCGTCGGAAGGCAGAACAAAAAGCAAATGCCACAATCCTTCACGAACCCATGGGAAATCAATGATTGTGGCCTTTTCGGGCCTTCCTGGGGGCCCTCTTGGAGGCCTCTTAGGCCGTCTTGGGCCACCTTAGGGCCATGTTCGGCCGTCTTGGTGGGCTCCTGATTCGTCTGATGCCGTCGGAAGGAGTTTGGGGGGCCTCTCTGGGCCGACTTGGGGCCCTCTTGGACTGCTCCAGGGCCGTCTTGGAGGCCATCTTGGGCGTCTTAAAGGCCTCCGGCGCCGTCTTGGGGGCCTCGTGGGCCGTCTTGGGGCTCTCTTGGGCCGTTCTGGGGCCATCTTGGAGGCCTCTTGGGCGATCTTTCGGCGATCTTTGGGGGCTCTTGGGCCGTCTCGGGCCGTCGGAAGGCCGAAAAGAAGGAAATGCCAAAATCCTTTGAAAACCTTCGGAACATCAAGGTCTCTGACCTTTTCTGGCCTTCCTGGAGGCCCTCTCGGGGGCCTCTTGGGTCGTCTTGGGGCAGCTTCGAGCCAACTTCGGCCATCTTGGTGGGTTCCTGGCACGTCTGACGCCGTCGGGAGCCGTTTGGGAGGCCTTTCTGGGCCGACTGGGGTCCCTCCTGGGGCGCTTCGGGGCCGTCTTGGAGGCCATCTTGGGCGTCTTGGAGGCCATCTTGGGCCGTCATGGGGCCCTCTTGGGGGCCTCTTGGGCGATCTTGGGTGCCTCTTGGGCCGTCTTGAGCAGTCGAAATGCCGAGAGGAAGCAAATCCCCAAATCCTTCAACTAAGAAACATCAATGATTTCGGCCTCTTCGGGCCCTCCTGGAGGACCTCTTGGAGGCCTCTTGGACCGTCTTGGAGGCCTCTGGGGGGCCTCTTGGGCCGTCTTGGGCCGTCTTGGACTCTCTTGGGCCGTCTTGGAGGCCGTCTTGGACCATCTTGGGCGGACTTGGAGGCCATTTTGGGCCATCTTCGCGATTTGTTGAGGATGTCCCGAGCGAAACGGCCGTTTCAGGGAGGATTTTTTTTTGGACTTTGCTGCCCTGGGCAATCCTCCTGGGACCCCGGCGGGACGGGCCGAAGCCCCAGGGGGGAGTTCTTTTGGAAAAAGAACCAACACCAAAACCGAAAGGGTCTAGCACGCCAGGCACCCCTGCGATGAATCGACAGGGGGCGGCGGATCGAAGACGCCTACGGCGAATCACCGCCGCCCCCTGCCTTTTTGGAAGCGCATATGTGGCCGAAGGTTGTGGCCAGAGGCCTCCCAAGCTATCGGACCACGTGTTCCCCGAATCGGTTTGGAAAGCCTTCAGGGAACACGTGGGCATCTTGAAGGTCATCTTGGCCGTCTGGAGGCCATTCTGACCCTTTCGGGCCTTCTTGGAGGACGTCTTGGAGGGCTCTTGGGCCGTCTTGGAGGTTATCTAGAGCGTCTTGGAGACCTCTTGGGCCGTCTTGGGGGCCTCTTGGGGCCGTGTCTTGGGCCTCTTGGGCGATCTTTGTGGGCACTTGGGCCGTCTCGGGCCGTCGGAAGGCAGAACAAAAAGCAAATGCCACAATCCTTCAAGAACCCATGGCAAATCAATGATTTTGGCCTTTTCGGGCCTTCCTGGAGGCCCTCTTGGAGGCCTCTTGGGCCGTCTTGGGCCATCTTAGGGCCATGTTCGGCCGTCTTGGTGGGCTCCTGGTCCGTCTGACGCCGTCGGAAGCCGTTTGGGGGGCCTCTATGGGCCGACTTGTGGCCCTCTTGGACTGCTCCAGGGCCGTCTTGGAGGCCATCTTGGGCGTCTTAAAGGCCTCCTGTGCCGTCTTAGGGGCCGTCTTGGGGCCCTCTTGGGCCGTTCTGGGGCCATCTTGGAGGCCTCTTGGGTTCTTTCGGCGATCTTTGGGGGCTCTCGGGCCGTCTCGGGCCGTCGGAAGGCCGAAAAGAAGGAAATGTCACAATCTGTCAAATACCTTAGGAACATCAAGGTTTCTGGCCTTTTCTGGCCTTCCTGGAGGCCTTCTTGGGGGCCTCTTGGGCCGTCTTGGGTCAACTTTGAGCCAACTTCGGCCATCCTGGTGGGTTCCTGGCACGTCTGACGCCGTCGGGAGCCGTCTTGGGGGCCTTTCTGGGCCGACTTGGGGCCCTCTTGGGGCGCTTCGGGGCCGTCTTGGAGGCCATCTTGGGCGTCTTGGAGGCCATCTTGGGCGTGTTGGAGGCCTCTTGGGCTGTCTTGGGGCCCTCTTGGGGCCGTCTTGGAGGCCACTTGGGCCGCATGGGGCCCTCTTGGGGGCCTCTGGGGCCGTCTTGAGCCGTCGGAATGCCGAGAAGAAGCAAATCCCCAAATCCTTCAACAACCTAAGGAAAATACACGATTTTGGCCTCTTCGGGCCCTCCTGGAGGACCTCTTGGAGGCCTCTTGGGCCGTCTTGGAGGCCTCTGGGGGGCCTCTTGGGCCGTCTTGGGCCGTCTTGGACTCTCTTGGGCCATCTTGGAGGCTGTGTTGGACCATCGTGGGCGGACTTGGAGGCCATCTTGGACCATCTTGGAGGCCATCTTGGGCCAACGTGGCCTTCTTGGAGGCCATCTTGAGCCGTCTAGGAGGATGTTTCCGGGAATTGGGCGATCTACGGGTGGCCGGCGGGTCGGGCCGAAGCCCACTGGGAGAGTTCTTTTGGAAAAAGAACCAAAACCAAAACCGAAAGGGTCAAGCACGCCAGGCGCCCCTGCGATGAATCGACAGGGGGCAGCGGATCTAGTGGCCTCTGGCCTATCCCGCCACCGTGCTTGGATTGGACCAGAGGCTCTGGGGAGCCTCTTAGAAGCACTTTTGAAGCCTCTTGCGGCCTCATGTGGCCTGTTTGGGGGCCTCTTGGGGCTTCTTCTGGGCCTCTCGGGGCCTGTTGGGAGCATCTTGGGGGCCGGCTGGCATCTCGCGGGCCCCCGTGGGGCGGAGGGCTCGAAATCTCTGCTCGCGTTCCCTCTCTTGGGGCTCTCTTGGGGCCCTCTTGGGCCATCTTGGGCGCCCTTTTGGGCCGTCTTGGGGCCGTCTTGAGCCATCTTGGGGGTCTCTTGGGAACATCTTGGATTGTCTTGGGCCCGACAAGAGGGCCCGAAGGTCGAAATCGAGGAAAAACGCCCCATATCGTCGGAGATCTGGGGTTCAGTTGAATCCCCTTTGTTCCGGCTTGATCCAGCTTACCCCTGGGCTTCATCCGGGTAACCTGGCCTAGCGGCCCCTTGATCGGGCTTTATAGCCCTGAATCGTCCTGTCGAAGACCTCCCAGGAGTTGCCTCCTGAAGGATCGGTGCAGGTGTATAATTTGACGCCCTCCTCGCAGGGGATACCCGAAATGAAAAGCAATGCTCTTTCAGCCGCTGCAGTACGGTATACGATGTGCAAGTGCAAGCCCGCCCTGAGGGGACTACCCTCAGGTCAGAAAACGTTCTGTGCCGGAAGCCCTGGGCGTGACGAGCGCGGAGGGCCAAAGCAGTTATTATACGGTTCGCGTATATTTGCAGTTGTAGCGTTTTGGCGGCACGCACAGGGGGGTAGGGGGAAGGGGGGACGGCTTCTCAGAAGGAGGCTGCTTCTTAGCATGCGCCGGCCCTGCACCTACAGACAGGGCCCGCGCCTTCAAGGAGCAGGGGTGCTTCTGAGAAGCCTCCCCCCCTCTCCCTGCCCCCCTCTGTGCGTGGCTGAGCAATGACGCCCTCCTCGCAGGGGCTACCCCGTCCAGGGCCTCGAGCACCAGGGCCTCTGCGTTCGCGCGTCGCACCTCGTCGCGGTGCCACCAGCCGACGCCGGGCGGCGCCGCGACGGCGCGCGGCGGGCCAGCGCGCCCTGCGAGCTGGCGCGGACGGCGCCGGGCGCGTTGGGCAGGGCGCAGGCTCGAGGGAAGAGAGACCGCATGAGGTCTTTAATGGAGCCCCCCCCCTTCAAGCCCTCGGATGGCAATTCAACTCGTCCCTCCCCTCCTCGCCCTTCCCCTCATTGTCCTCATCACCATCAGGGGTCCTCGCCTCCCCCACAATCATCAGCGGTGGCCATTGTCTGGTGGCCTTCTCTCCGAGGCCTCTTGGATGTTCGTTGGGTTATCGTGGGAGGCCTCTCGGGGGTCTCTTGGAGGCAGTTTTGATGCCTCCTGAGGGCCGTTGGGCGGCCTATTGGGGCCTCTTTTTGGGCCGCTTGGGGGCCTCGTGGGGCCTCTTGGGGGCCTCTTGGGCGTCTCATGGGGCCTCTCGGAGGCCTCCTGGGGCTCATAGGGGGCTTCTTGGGGCGGAAGGCTCGACTTGTCAGTTCGTGTTCCCCCTCTTGGGGCAGTTTTGGGGCTCTCTCGAGCCGTCTTGGGCGCCTCTAGGGCCGTTTTGGGGCCTTCTTGGGCCGTCTTGGGGCCCTCTTGGGGGCCTTTTGGGCCGTCGGGGGGCGGTCTTGGGGGCCTCTGGGGCCATCTTTGAGCGTCGGAAGCCTGAAAACGCGAGAACGCGAAACACATTTTGAAAACAAGACACAAGGAACATATATGATTTTGGAGCTCTCTTGGGGTTCTCTTGGAGCGCTCTTGTGGCTTCTGTGGGGCCTCTTGGGCCGTCTTGGGGCCATCTTGGGCGTCTTGGAGCGCTCTTGGGCCGTCTTGGAGGCCTCTCGGACCCTCTTGGGCGCTTCTTGGGGCCTCTTAGCCCGTTTTGGGGCCCTCGGGTGAATAATGCATGAGCAGCGAGTGCGCATGCTCTGAGTCAAGGTGGCACAGCGGCGCTCTGCTAATGAGAGGAGGAGCAGTGAACGCGCACATGCTCTGAGGCCAACTAACAGGGCGGCGCTCGGATAATCATAGCCCGAGAAGGAATTTCGAACCCTGCTTTGAGGCCGCTTAGGAGAGAGCAGCGCTCTGCTGACGAGGGGGGGCAGCGGGTGCGCACGCCTGGAGGCAAATTGGCCGAGCGCCGCTCCGCTGACTGGAGCCCGAGCAGTCTGAGAATGTGGGGCCCCAGCCCCTGCCAGAATACAGTCGGGGCGCTGAAGAAGGAACCCTTTTAGTTTGGGAGGGGCTCCGTGTTCCTCAGTTGTTTTGCAGCGCTCCTTGGGTTTTCCCCCGGTTTTCCATGGAATATCGGAGGTTGACTTGTGGGAAAAAGGGGCCTCGTTTCTTATTGCGAAGGCCTTACGGCCGGTGCCGCCGACCCTGGAGGGCGACCCATGCGTTCTCGTATGTGGCGGCGGCGGCTCGGGCGGCTCGGGCGCGGCCCCGAAACAATAAAGAATCCCTACGTGCAGTACTTGCGGGGGGGGGGCGTCGTATCTGAGTGGCGCCCCCCCCCCGGGACCTCTCCGCTACCCCCCCCCCCTCCCGGCGGGGGAGGGATCAAAGGGAAGGGGCTTCCCTTCGACTCAAATACGACGTTGCTGAAGTTCATTTGGGCTGGCGCGCTTGAGCAGGGGCCCCTGCTGGGAAAGAGGACGGGAGTGGCGACGGGCCCACGGAAAGGGAGGCGCAAGGAAGGGGGACGACAGAGACGACGACCAACGAACAACGGGGATGACGTCTCGAACGGAAAAGCCCCTCACACACGCCGACAGGGTCGGCGGATTTATCGTTCCTTAGGTCGACGCCCCGACTGTACAGAGGGGGGTGCGCGTGGGGTGCGGTCTCTATCCGTTGCAGGCTCGCACGGCGCAGCAGGCGTGTCATTTTCTCGACATCAGAGGGGGCGCGCAGGGAACGGCCACCAACATCATTCTCACATGCTTCTCTTCGGCTATCATCACTCCAGCCATAATATAAGTACGTGGGGTTCCTCGGTAGCGTAATTTATCGTTCCTTGGGTCAACGCCCCGACCGTACCAGAATACAGGATTCGGGACAGAGAGCATAGGCATCTCGTCGCCGACTCGCGGTGTCCGAAGCCACCGCCGAAGCAGGGGCGGCGCGAGCCTGCCGCACCGATACCGCGGCCCCTGCCTCGGTTCAGCCCCGCCCGAGCACGTTCGCTCTTAGTGAGAGCCGGGAGGTCAGAGGAGGAGGAGGAGGAGGAGGAGGAGGAGGAGGAGGAGGAGGAGGAGGAGGAGGAGGAGGAGGAAGTAGAGGAGGAGGCAGAGGAGGAGGAGAAGGAGGAGGAATGATGATGATGATGATGATGATGATGATGAGGAGGAGGAGGAGGAGGAGGAGGAGGAGGAGGAGGAGGAGGAGGAGGACTTAGAGGATGAGGGGAGGGGGAGGTAGAGGAGGAGGAGGAGGAGGAGCTGTCTTGGAGGCCTCTTGGATGCCTCTTGGAGGCTTCTCGGACCGTCTTGGGCGGTCGGAAACCCGAACGGGTGAGAACCTCAAAATAATTCAAAACCATCGGGGGAATCAAATGTTTTGGCCTCTTCGGGCTCTCCAGGAGGGCCTTTTGGAGATCTCTCGGGCCGTCTTGGAGGCCGCTTGGGCTGTCCTGAGGCCTTCTTGGGCTATCTTAAGCCGTCTTGAGGCTCTCTTGAGAGGCTCTTGAGCTGTCTTGAGCCATCTTGAGCCGTTTTGTCGTCGTCTTCGCGGTCTTGGAAGCCGTCTTTGTCTCCCTCTTGGCCGCAAAGAGCGCCAGGGAGCAACTTTAGGGGGGGCAATTCTTGAACCCTCGCCAGACCAGAGGGACCAAAGGTGCATTCCAACGCCCACTCCGCCGTCCTCGTCCTTGTGCTTCTCTTCCTCCTCGCTATCCTCACGTTCGCCACGCCGTCCTCGTCATCGACTCCTCGTTGTCCTCGCCTTCCTTTTCTTCTTCGCCCAATGCGCCCATTAGACTACAGCGGCGCTTCCCGTTCTTGTCCGATCAGGTTCCAACGCCCACTCCGCGCAGGCATGGTGGCGGATTTCTTTGACTTCGCCAAATACGATGGCCATGACCAGCGTGTCGCGCGGGATCCCGTGAGCGGGAGGGAGGCCGGCCCCGAGCGATGGGGGTGACGAGAAGGCGGAGGCCCTCTCAGAAGGAGTCCTCCTCCTCCTCCTCCTCCTCCTCCTGGCGGGACATTCTTCGGGGAAGGGCTTCGAAGACTTCTCAGAAGGCCAGGGGGACTTCCGAGCCTCCCGAGGAGGCCTGCCCCCTCTCGCTTGCCCCCCGGGCTGGCCGCCGATGCTCAGGACCCTCGCCCGTCTGGGCCTTCCAGATGGGGTCGGAGGATTCAGAGGAGGACTAAGTACCCATACCGCTAGCTTTCCATCGTTTTCGTATTTTTTTGACCTCGTGGGAGGCCCTCGTCGCCACCGCTGGATTCGCTTCGAAATCCTGGTCAGAACGCACCCTGGGAGAGGTCCAGGGAGTAGCGGTATCGGTACCTGTTGGTTTCCCCAGCAATCTAGGCTTCCCAGATGGGGTCCGAGTAGACGGGGTCGGAGGATCGCGCCGCATCGCCGATGCATCGCCGATGCGGCTCGATGTGGAACCTGATTTGCTTCACGTCGACGTCGCCGATGCATCGCCCACTTCGACGATGCATCGCCGATGCCCGGCCGATGCATCGCCGATATCTCGGCGATGCGGCGCGATCCTCCGACCCCATGTGCTCCGTGTTTCGTGTTTCGTCAACGTTTTGTTTGGGGTTGCCCCCCCCCCCCCCACCACCCCCCACCGGAAATTGACGATCCCAAAGGTGACTTCGTGTTAGGGGTGGTTTGGCAGGTAGTCAAGCAGGAGGGAAAACACACAGACAATCAATCGTCGACTCCCAGGAAGATATGGGAAGATCTGGGAAGTGGGGGGAAGACTAGCACCCAGAAGATCTGAATCCATGGGGAATCCTGGGACCTGTGTCTACAGTGCCGTTTTTAATACATGCTCCGCGTGCGGACCATGTATTAAAAGTGCAGGGATTTAGTATTAAAAACAACGATGAGTTCATGCATAATTGTATTCATAAATTAATAACGTATTAAACATCTTTTTTTAAAATCCCATGTATTAAAAGCTGTCCTGTATCTGTTTGTGTGTCCCAGGGCCCCTGTAGTCAAGCCCATCACCACGCCCCTCCCCAGGCGCACGGTGCCTCGCAGGCGGCGCCGCCGGCCGTGCCGGACGCGCCGGAGAAGCTGCCGGAGCCGCCGCGGCAGGGGTGCGACAGCCTGTCGACGACCCCGTCGGGGAGCTCGACGAAGAAGAGCACCAGAAACGCCAGGGGTAGAGATGCATCGACCCCCAAGCGCCCACTGATCGAGGTTTCGAGGTTTCGAGGTTCGAGTTCGGAGGTTTTCTCAAGCTTTCGTCGGTTCTCGGCGGTTTTCCAGCCTCGGGATGCTCTCCAGCAGCCGCGCCTCGCCGAGGGCGTGTCAGGGGTGCCGGGATCGTCCCGAACGCCGCCGGAGAGTCGAGTTAATTATGGTCCGAAAACCAAGGGGCAAGAATAGGTGGGGATAGGTCAGGGGGGGATGCATCGACCCCCGAACGCCCACTGACCACCGATAGGGGCCCGATAGCCCACCCTGTCCAGGAAGGTCCGGTTTCGGTGTCAGGGATCAATCGCCGCTCTATCGGCGATGTACCGCCGATTCCAGGTCGCCGTTTCCCCTCCTGTGCCAGTCCACTTCCCCCTTCATGCATTCGGATCATCGCGCGGATTTCTTGGTCTGGCGCTGGGGCACCCTGGCGGCGCGCGTATCGAAGAAATCCGCGCGCAGTTCCGAAAGTTCATGTCCATGCAGCCCTTTCTTCCTCCAGGAGCGTCTGCCTGCAGAACAGCGTCTCGGTCTCCTCCTTCACCGACGAGGCCAACAGGACGGGCGACGAGGGGAACATGCACATACGCCGATGCCGAGGAGGAGGAGGAGGAGGAGGAGGAGGAGGAGGAGGAGGAGGAGGAGGAGGAGGAGGAGGAGGAGGAGGAGGAGGAGGAGGAGAGGAGGACGGTCAGGCCCATCCTGGGCCCAGGATGGGTGCACGTGTGCCTCCCTGGGCCGCGCTGGGAGGGCGCAGGCGCCGTTCCTGGGCCCAGGAATGGGCCAGCCCAGGGCTGGTACCACATGTGGGCGGCGGCCACGAGGGGGGGGGCGCGAGAGGTCAAGCAGTGGCGAGGCGTCCCGGCTTGCCTATATGCCCACCGAAGAGTGTTCTAAGAACCTGTGTGGTTTGCACGACATGTTCTTAGAACATTTCTGACTGGGGCTGTCCTGTTTTAACGCATCTGCTTGATGTTCTAAGGGCACTGTGTTTGTTCTTGGAACATTTCGGGGTGGGCCTCTAGGACTGCCGGGACGGTCGGTCCCTCTTCACAGGGGAGCTTCGAGGAAGTGGACTTAGACAGAACCACCGCCTGAAGGATCGCCTTTCGCGGCTCTCCGCAGGCGGTGGGTATGGACGTATTTTGGCTTCTGGGGGTCAGGTGATGTAAATCCATATTCACCGCCCGCTGGGTCCCCAGGACGTCGGTTCCCAGGCGGTGGGTATGGATAAGTCCCCGCCTCGCAGGGGCTCTCAGAGTGCCCCCGAGGCTTTCAGGGAGGCATCTGACGCCGGGCGGGCCTCTGGGAAGCCCTCTCTGCCTCCCTGGAAGCCCCGCCGCCTCTCTGGAAGCTCCCCCCCCTCGCGCCGCCCCCCCCCCCCTTGCGGGCGCCGCCGGCCCATGCATGCCTCCCTCTCCTCCGAGCAGGACGGCGGAGAGGCTCTTCGACTCCCTTGTCGGCGTGCCGCTGCAGCCGGAGCTCCGGGGCAGCGAGTGGGGGGATGCATCGGCCCGCGGGCCGGATGGCCCGCCCCGCCCAGCCACAGGAGGAGGCGCCGTCGGGGCCTGCCGCTGCTCGATCGGCGATGCATCATTGATTCCAGGTCGACGCTTCCCCCTCCTCCTCCTCCCCCTCCTCCTCCTCCTCCTCCTCCTCCTCTTACCTCCTCGTTCCTCCTCCCTTCTATCCCTCCTCCCGCCACCTTCCTCCTCCTCCTCCCCTCCTCGTTCCTCCGCCTCCTCCTCCTCCTTCCTCCTCCCTGCTCCTACCTCCTCGTTCCTCCTCCTCCTTCCCCTCCTCCCGCCTCCCCTCCTTTCCACTCCTCGTCCGCTCCTCTTCCTCCCTCCTCCTCCTCCTCCTCCTCCTCCCCTTCTCCCTTCACCTTTCTCCCTCTGCTCCTGCTGCCCTCCTCTCTTCCTCCTCCTCCTCCTCCTCCATCTCTCCTCCTTCCCGGCTCGTTCCTCGCTCCTCCTCCCACCCTCCTCCTCCTTCTCCCTCCTCCTCCTCCTCCTCCTCCTCCTCCTCTTCCTCCTCCCCTCCTCCTCCCCCTCCCCTCCTCCTCCTTCTCCGCCTCCTCCGCCTCCTCCTCCTCCTCCTCCTCCTCCTTCTCCTCCTTCTCCCCCTCTTCCGCAAAAGATGTTCGGAGCCCGAAGCCTCGATGTGCGAGCTTGCTTCCCCCTGTCAGGCGGTCGCGAACATGGATCAAAGGGGTGTGGATTAGCGACGGGTCCTGCTTTCATGGGAAGTCGCGGAGTGCCGCCGCCGAGCGAGGCGGCACCAGCGGCATTTAGGGGAGGGAACCTCCCCCGACACCATTTAGCGGCGGCACCAGCGGCATGGATTAGGCGACCGCGCGCCAAATCCATGGATCGCAAATTCATGTTTGCGCGCCCCCGTCCGAGAACCTCAAAAGAGCTTCGAAGCCCGACGCCTCGAGGTGCGAGCCCGCCTCCCCCCTGTGCTGGCTCCCTCCTCTTATCCCAGACCCCCGACGTCATGATCTTTTCATGATGTCGACCCTAGAGGTTTCGACCCCTTCCCCGGGGCCCGTTTTTCATCTCGCGTCGTTTTCTGACGGCCCGGAGGCCCGGCAAGGGCCCCCAGAGGCTGAAACTTGTGAAAAACCTCTCGTCGTGATTTTTTCGCTGGCCCCTCAGGAGCGCGCCCCTGGCCGTGGCAGCCGCGCCTCGAGCGCCAGCCGGCCCGCGCTCGCGGGCGGCAGCCCCGCCGTCTCGGCGCGGGCCTGCGGGGCGCGCTGGAGGTGAGGGCTGCAGCGCCCAGGCTCACCGAGCGCGCTGCGCTACGCGCAAAGTGTCCACTCGCAGACATCCGAGAAGCATATGTTCGCTTCGATGATATTCATCGTCGTCGTCCTCCTCCTCCCCCTCCTCCTCCTCCTCCTCCTCCTTTTCTCCTCCTCCTCCTCCTCCTCCTCCT